TCATCTTTGTTTGTCTCATACAGGTAACAGATTCATTGTCCTTTATTAGCTATAACCGATGTTGCCAAATGGTGAAATAGAAACGAATCCCTTTGGATGTTGAATGCATTATTTCAATGCTATTTTTTGGGTGTTTAGATAATTATCTAAAGAAAAAGGTTGAAATGATGAGTATTAAATGCGTTGTGCTCTTGTATGGAAACTACTTGATTTTCGTCAGGAGAAACATTCCCCATTCTTAAAATCCATTTTTTATTTTGATTTTCTTCTGCCCGCGAATAGATCAAGAAATATCAAAGTGATTACGTACAGCGCCATCTGCCCGCGGATAGATCAAGCAATAACAATGTCGATAATTTTGTCAAATACATATCCCGAGCTTGGAAGTTACAAGCAAACAAACAAACATACATACATACATGCAGGTGAACCTAATATAAGGCGTGTAAAAATATTCCAAACCAAGTTACTTCACAGCATTTTGATTGTTAGTATCCACAATCGTCTTCGGGCACAACGAACAAAACTTTTGAATCAACATGATACAAATAGAAATCTACCCTACTGAATGAATCATTCATCAGAAATGCAGGATCTCGCACTCAAATGAAACATTATACGAGTACTCGATTATATCCCAAGAAGCATCACCCTGAATTCCCACTCGTGCTCGAATCTTCCGACAAAACTGCCTCTTCGGCCATTACCGCCCTAGCAAAAACAACACGGCGGGTTAGGAAACAAACGGCGAGCGAGAATTGCCCGGTTTTTCGCTGGGAATTAAGTGACCAGAGCAATTTAAAACATCGCTTAATGACTCTATCGGCCGGTTTTCTTTCCCGTTAATTCTTTTGTTTTCTGCTTCTCGCCGCCTTTAATTAAAACAGGCCGAAGATATCTCTCGGTGTTTACAGGATTGGGAGGAAAGTGGGACTCAGTGAGGTTCACAGGACATGGACAGACCTAGGAAGGAAAGGGTGGTGGAAATAGTTGAGGGTGTAGGCCTGAACTGGGTGAATCTATATTATTCGAATGTTAAAACTCGGACAGATGAATCTAGTTCTCCAACGAAAAAGACTACGTCATTCAGTGAGTAAGATTTCAGACCAAATCATGGTGCCCAAACTATTGAGGATCGCCGGTCAATCTGCGATATTCCTCGTCACCTTGGGAAATACAGATCCTGTGAGGTATTTCAGGAAAGTTCTTTCTCATAGCTAGAGAACTAACTCTACATCCATCTACTCTACTGTCTTCACAGGTAGCCATTTAGACCTGTATGTAAACTACGGCCCGCGGGCCAAATCCGGCCCGCCAGTGTCATTAATCCGGCCCGCGACAGCCAATGATTACCTAATCGTTATTACTGTTGCTGTGATAAGTTGAAGAAGAAAACACAGAATGATAATTACTCGGTTTTATTTACTTGCAAGGTAAAACTTCACGACAGAAATGATGACAAAGAAAACTTAACTTAAGTATCTAAGTTTAAGCATATTAATAACTAACAAATAATTGAAATGAATCACAGTAAAACAAAAACNGGTGAAGGAACTAGGCATCATCAGAAAGGATTTTCAACGAGGTGGTTACTCCAAAGTTATGTTGGAACAGATTTTGGCTAGACGACAGCAACAGCCTCTAAAGGAAGAGGAGCCGTCACAACCAGTGCTTGCCCTTTCCTACTTCAGAGGATTGTCGGAAAGGATAAGAAGAATTGGGTCCGAGTATTACATCAGAAGCTGCTTCAGTATCATCATAAACACCTCAAATAGTTTGCCGAACTGAATCTGAGAATATTCCACGTCCATTTTTTTCTCGACAAAATGCGACTAACTTACCATTTGTGTACTGTAACAGTTGAAGCTTCAATGCCCGAATCTCCGCGGTGAGTCTCTCAACTTCTACTCGCGTTTCTTCTTCACGTTGCTGAAGTAGTTGTTGCAGGGAGTAGCCTCGGTCTTGCTGCTGATGTTGCTGCTGCTGCTGGAACTGGACGCTGTTGATATCCTGCTGGGAACCGCTGAATAGGGTAGATCCTGCAACAAAATACTGAGTGAATGAATAAGAATGTAAACTTTATGTTATATCATATAATAATCATTCAAAATGTCTTCCTTCAGCTTGTAGCACCTGATGAACTGTAGCTCCGCAGATGAAACCCAATGGATTCCAATCTGGTGAGTGTGGTGGCAAAATTCCTCCTTCTCTTGCTATGCACCTTCCTTGAAAATGAGTAGTTGAAAATTGCCTTATTGCGAAAGAAAAATGAGCCTGCGAAAGTCTAAGGTCTAGGGTCTAGGGGAACATTATCCTACTGTCGAGTTAGTCTAGCTAGAAGTCGAAATGATCCAATTGGGGAGCCATGTAGTACCCAAACCCCCAAAAGCTAGAATTGAAAAACTTGAGCTGTGAATTTCGGCACAGTTGAAGGATAAAAGGAATTGAAAAAAATTTAAATGACATTCGAAGAAAATATTTAGAGTTAGTTGGTAGTCCTTCATTTATACTGAACACTGATGATATTAATGTGCAGCAATTGGAAACTGGCGGTTTTTGATTTATTTTCTCTCAGACAGAAAGGAAATTGGAGAGTCAGAAAAAATATCAAAAGGGTTAGAGACTCAATGTCATGATAAGATAATTCGAACGTATTCTTCTATAGTCATGAAGTTATTATGTTTGTTCAATTCATAACCTTCAATATAGTGCGATGGTGGTGTAATGGTCAGCATAGTTGCCTTCCAAGCAGTTGATCCGGGTTCGATTCCCGGCCATCGCAATTTTTTTTCTTTTTTCAACCACACCAAAATAATATTTTATTCATCGATTTGACTTAATTTTTAATGTGAAAAGTATACCGGATTGATGAAATCATTCTTATAAAATATGGGATCAACTTTTTATCCATCTTTTGCACTAGGCATTAGGTACGTTGATCAATTTTTCAGTTTCTATTATTTAGAAGTCGGAAAAAAACTCTCCTTCACCACATATACTTTGTTCTTGCTATTCCACGTATTTTTAGGATATGAGGGAGGGCCATATTTGTTGTTCACGTATCATTAGGAACACTATATACATTATATTCAATGAAAGATATTTGGTGCAGACCTAACAAGCATTACTCATCCACTCTCTAATGTTATCCCCCGAAGCCCAGATACATTCGGAAGGGCGCGCCAGCATTATCAACCAACGTGCACTTTCCACATCGTGGGGTGAGTGATCATTGGGTCCAAAAATCATGTGTTCTGAGCAAGCGCAGTGAGCCAAGAATGAGATCCTTCTGCATCTGTCCGGCTAAGATTTCTGCCTTAGTGCGGCAAGCCGGTATGATTTTAAGATTCGAGAGTAGAGAGGGGCATTATTCCACCAAGGACTTCCATAATCAGAACAACTATCTTCACAGAGTGGTCGGTATAGAGTCTGCGGAGTTCGAAGAGAAAATCTCGATATTCCATGCATGTTTCCTCTTTTTTTCGGACTACATCAGGCTTATTAGCTTGTATGACTGTGACAGTGGGAAACGAAGAGTTCCCTTCTCGTTCCCCACAACGGATTCAGTATTCCCCAGAGCGTAAGACCACACCGATGTCTCGTCAATAACGTAATAGAGCCGTAGATAGAAATATAGCACTCTTAGGGCCGCGTTACGTCGATGGATATAGGCCGAGAGCGCAAATCTGAACATGCTGATAGCAAGTGGATTAGGGTCTCGGGCACCTCGCGGAAGGCCCTACATCTTGTGTCAGGAGCCTCTATACCCATAACGCGACTGAAGTAAACTAAGGTGTTGAAGACACCTCTCAGTTTCCGACTTCAGCCCACTCGATCTGAGAAAAGCAAAAGTCAGGCGCTTTGATAAGCCAAGGTCTTCAATGTTATTGAAGAAGACCCCATGCATTGGCTTATCCTTGTGTTTCCGCAGAAGTGAGGTGATCTCTGAGGCTTTCATATGAGCTTTTAGCTGAACGGGTTCCAACTCGTTGACCGAGTTGTGATCCCCTCGTTCACTGTCGAAAACTATACTGAGTTCATCAGCTGCCCTGAAAAGAAATGCTCCAATTCCTGCTCTCTCGTGGTTGCAGACCATCCAGAGAAGAGGCAGGCCATGCAGGATGGTCGTCATCAATTGTCAAAGTTTGGAAGTTCTGTTGGAACAGCTGATACATACTTCGAGGGGCGCAATGAAATGTTATATCAAGAAATCTATCTTGAGGAATAATTCAGTGTCCAGCGTGGTATTAGTCGGGAAAGTAGTTGTTGTCCAGAAAACATCAACCAGAATATACTGTGCAGGTATGTTGAGAGACATACACATTTTTCGAAATTTCATTTTGAAATATTCATTATCTCAAACGTATGTATCTCTACTCGATCTGCATGCTTTCATGTTATTTTCATTTCTTAGTGATCTCGTCTTTCTTTTTTCTTTCAATCCATGCTTCTTCCAATGAGATAAAAATTTTCGAAACAGTGAATAATAATAATGAAAGTGGTTGTTATACATTAGAAATCAATAGGTTAACCTACAATTTAGGATTTGGTTTCAATCATGTACTGAAAACGCTAACTTTATTGGTGGTCAGTACAGTTTGGGTTAATGACAGAAATCATGTGAAACGTTCAGTTTGAAGTTGAACTAGGCTGATTTTTTGCAGTAAGTCCCACGTGCGACAGACAACATTCTGATTTAGAGTTGATTCTATGAGACACTCCATATAACAAACTCAATATGAATATCAGATTATATGTATTAAAAAACAATTAAAGCAATTCAAATACGATATCTAACAAAATACGTCAACCATGACTGACGTAAGCAAATCAAAAATAACCTTTTCTATATTCATTTATGACAGTAATTGGATATTCATAGGTTTTTGCGTGTGATTATCTCCATTATATATTGAATTTAATTTTAGCTAAAATCTACGTATTTTTTCAACCAAGGATTACCACCACAATATTCACAAAAGGCGATAAAAATAAGTTGGTAATGAATACCTAATGAGACAAATAGTAAACGTAACAAAATCACTGAGTCAGATATCAGAATATGACTTCATCCTGTCTATAATGTAACAAAAAAATAAGCCAAGGCATCAGCTGAATGAACTGTATTATTGAAAAGACCCGAAAAGGGTCAATTTTAAGTTAAGGCACGCCCGGCAAAACACTGTGTAGTGAAAATCTCACATCAAAGTGTTTTTTGAATACGTTTGCTATGGATTTTCATCAAGTATTGGCCAATTCCATCATTTAGGTCAATTTTGAATTCTGATATGACATTTCTTTTAATCTCTTCTCGTTATTCTCTTCGCGTCAGTTCTTGCGCCAAAATCATTATATGAAATGAGAATGTGTGTGATAATTATGCTTTCAATTTTATTATTTCGGACTTAGTCTAATATGATTGTACTGTCAGTCGAAATATATGAAAGAACAAATTCTAAATGCAATATTTATCTAACTTTAGACTCTTACACTTTAAACCTTCTTAATCGTAATCGTAATTCCCATCAAAAGCCACACAATCATTCTTTTGCCGCTCCAACATTTTAATATCACTCTTGTAGAACGATTTATCTTCTGCCTCAAAATAGGCCTCAATTTCAGCAATAACCTCTGCATTTCATTGAATTGAAGTTTTCATTGAATTGTGAAACTGTGCAACAGCACTGAAGCAGCACTTCCTTTTTCTCCAAATGGGGTCGTTTTTCCGCAATTTCGGAAACATGACACGAATATCTCAAATGTAGTATACTCCCTGTCGTAACAATATGAATTGATGTTAACCTTGCCAAAAAACCATCTTTGCTAGATTTCTGGAGTATTTAGTATGATATACAAATAATGAAAATTGTCTTTTCTGTAGGTTTAACAGCTGAGGAAAGTGGTTCTGCTAATATTGGTGCTGGAGTTTCTGGTGATGCTGATGAAGATGTTGGTGTTAGTGGTACGCAATGACTCAGTGAAAGTACTTTTTTCTGCTTTCTATCTTTCTCTGGACGAATATTTGAATAAAAACAAATGTTTGATAACTATAATTTTGATAGGGTGGGAATTTTGAAATATTGACTATTTTATTGAATAGAGGGCGATTGAAAAGAAGCCTATTTTAAATGGAAACGAGAATTTTTTAGTGAAGAAGAAGTGTAGAAGTTGTGATCATGTAAAGAAGTACCTAACTTTCAGATACAAACTGAAAGGAAAAAGCCCTTTTCAAACATCTACTTTCATATAATGATTGAGTTAAAGATCGAGTTTTTTCAATGGATTTGTCAGCTTTTTACATCTACCTGAGAATAAATGATATCAATGGCAAAATGAGCTCTTTTTGGACCATCAACGAAAACTTTTCAAAACACGTATAACAAAAATTTGATGGCAGATTGCTTCACATATCTACATATTCTTAAAAAAATTTGGAGTTACTCTTTCTGTGGAATAAGACCTCAATTTGAATTAATCAAGATAAACTCTGGATATTATCTAAATCTCAGGATATTTGTTTGATATTTTTGCATACAAAAAAAATGTGAGTGGTCACAGGATGCCTGGCGATGTAAAACATCAATTATGAAATATACATGGTGGCTTTAACAATAGTGAAGTCAAGTTATTGCAATATATTACTGAAGATATCAAACATTCGTGCACTACTTGCTTTCAGCTGGTTATGAAATACAATCTTGTCAGTCGTTATGAAAGTGATCCTTCAAACAAGTGTTTTAGTGCATTATTTTTCACAAAATGGAATTGAAATCTATTATTAATTGATTTAAATATATTACATGCTATGAAAATTGTGTAACTTCTAATCTACCAAGAGAGACTGTACATTTACTGACCCTTGAGACAGACCAAATGAACGTGGGCTTATCACACAGATAAAAGCACACTTGCTGATGGTTTGAAAGTATATCGTGTTGTGATTTTCTAAATTATCACTGTCAAACGTATTTTATTTTCAATCCTTTTCAAAAATTATCACTGTAGGAATTCGATCTCAGTATGACAAGAAAGATAGCGTCACGCCAAACCATTGGGAGGAGAATCGCACAGTCGCTTGCGCATGGCGACCCGTCGCCATACCAGCAATCGGTTGTTTGTTTCACATCGAAAGTTTTCTCTATATAGGTATTCTTCAGATAGACATACTCGTTCATGTAGTCGTTTGTAGAGACTATTATTATTGAAACAAAATATCTACTGTACAAAAAAAACCATATGGTTTCATTTGAAAAAAGTCTCTTCTGATTCCTCAATCATTCCAATAAAAAGCACTCTTTCCAATCACCAGAAATGCAATATTCAGTTTTCTTCAACTGAAGACGCCAACTTGGTTGGTGAAACGTCGAGAAGAGTATTGCTTTGCTGGTGATTGGAAAAAGAGCTTGTTCTGGATTAATTCTACGTTAGTTAATCCAGTTCCACCTTCAATAACCAATAGTTTATAAAAATAAAAACAGTTTGCAATGAATTTCCCAAATATAATATGCAAAATTTCGAAGTTTAAAAATAATATATCGAATGTTGTTCTTGAACATAAATTATTCAAAAGTCGTATGTGACGCAATAGTTGTATTTTTTATCACATATGGATTAGGAAAATTAATACATTTGATATTTCATCATTTCTATTAAACAATATGAACTTTCAAAGGAGAAAGAACAAAAACCACAATGGAGTTTACAGAAAAATGTGTTGATTAGTCACATATTTTCTGCGAATACAAAGCTGCAAAAAGGTTCAACAAAAATGAACAGTACTGAAAAAAGATTGATAACTTCATTCTCAGTCTGTGAAAAAAATAAACTTGTGAAATATAACATTTGTTTCATATTTTCAAACACAAATAAGATAATCCGATGCCTACACCCATATTGTACGTAGAATTTTATCAACATTTTGACGTATGGGATTTATGAAAACTCATATTATCATCCTTTGGGTTGAACATTTATCCTATCAAGTAAAGGTTTGTTTTTGTAGCTTTCCATATTTGCAAATATGTCACCGAAATATTAAAATCCCTGGAAAATGTGACAAGCTATCTCTATCCCTCTATTGATATGGGTGTCCGACAAGGTTCTGTCTTAGGACCCGTGTTATTTTGTTCTGTAGATCATTGAGACTGATTATTTGAAAAGTAGTCACTTTGCACGCGCGAATTATTCATCATTGGTGTGAATCAGGCTTTTTCATTGAATTCACTTCATCTTTCGATAGGAAAAAGTCGAAACGCAATAAAAATTGGAAGTTCAGTGAGAAATTCTCATGAATCTGTCATAGTCCTTGAAGTCCAGCTAGATGAACTTCTGGAGTGGGAAACTCACTGTTATCCTCGGAATTTCGTCTTGAATCTTGGAGAGTTCCTCAACAAGTTACCATTACTGATAATTCACCACACTTAATCTAGATATTTTTACCTTCCTTGACGTATGAATCTGTTCTTCTTTGAATTTTGATGTGCTTGGTTTTTTACCTTGGTCTTTTTTGCGAATTATATAATGGCTCTTGGTACACCTGTTAGCCTGTGTCATACGCCTGGTAAGTAGTTTTTCTAATATCTTCCATGTGATTGATATAAAAATGGTGAATCTCAAAGCCTTCTTCGAATTCTTAACGCAGCCTTAATCGTTATCCATGTTTCCATGTTTTGAGGTCTACTCACAGTTCTAGAAGTGTAAGTTTTGGTTCTTTTTGCAGCTTTGCAACAGTTTTGAGTCTTTTTTACTTCTGCCATCATCTTTTTGCACACCAATAAACCCTCATCATTATTTTGGGAAGCTCCAGTCCTGACTCTTCTATCATATTTGCGAATACTGGCCCGGATTTTATGGTCCTTTCTCCAGTTTCTGTTTGTTATTCTCAATATGTATTCCCAGTATCTTCATTATAACTTGATTTGCGGCATCTTTACCCCATACTTGAGTCTGTTCAACGTTCATGAGCTTTTGTTGGATTAATTACCCAGATGAAGACTTTTTGTACTGATCCCATATATAGGGTCTTTCATTAAGCGCTTCCGATGGCATAGGTTGACTTGGCTTTTGAGGACCGCTGTAGTTTCTAGCTTATTCGCATACACCCCAAAAGGAAATGTCTAACGGTGTCAAATCACACGATATCGATGGTCAGTTCACATCACCTCCACGAAAGATGACCATAACCTCAAATCGCCCGTGCAGAATATCCAATATGGCACCGTCCTGTTGGAACCACATATCGTTGCTGTCCAGATCTCCCAATTTAGGCCAAAAAGAGATGGTGATCGGCGTTGACAGTGAGGTCTTGGCCTACGTCGCCAGCCCAAAATCCACACCAAACAGTGACTTTTCGAAATGAGCTGGACGCTCTTGAATCTCATGTGGATTGGCATCGTCCGCCAATTCCATTCGTTCACGTCGAAGACGATTTTTCGATGAAAATTTAGGTCAGATGCCATCTGATCCAAAACCCATTCAGCAAACACACGTCGTTTTCTTTGGTCGTTTTCCTTCAGTTCCTGGGTCATTCTGTACGGATGCAGGCCCAAGTCACGACGCAAAATTCACAGAATTTTGGTCTGCGGAAGGCAGAGTTCTTGAGAGAGACATGAAATCGACTTCATCGAATTATCCTGCACACTCTCACAGACAGCGGCGATGTTTTCGGCGTTTCGTCGACGTACAGGTGTTGATAGATCGTTTATTGAACCAGTGGACTAGAATTTATCCACCACATAGCGAATAGTCCTTTCAATAGGACGAGGGCGACCGTAAATTAGGCGAAGCACGCGGTACGCTGCCCAAACAGAACACCTAAATTGATAAAACAATTTTATCATTCGCAGGCGTTGTTGAATGCTATTTCCGTAATCGGTTTGCTGTATACTCTAATTATATCCATCAATATTCGGTTTTTTTTCAGATATCTCAGGCAAGAGGGGGATGTTTCAGATGTAAACGTCAAACAAAAAAGGACCCTGGTAAGTGAGAGTCTTTGAAAATAGTTGCGTAGAATCCATACTAATTCACATTTATAATTATAGACACAGAAAATTCAATTTCATTCGAATAAGTAAACAAACTGAATAATTGAAAAAAATCTTGTGGAGGAGATGAAATATATGTGTGAGCAACGCTGAGGGTATATGTTCAGGAAAGATTGATTCCCAGGAATGAACGTTTTTGGCAGTTTATACAAAAAAATGAGGGAATCTTTCTAAGAAAGAAAGGAAGCATCAATTTCAAAAATCAACTGTATACAAAAGTGTGTAGATCGTCCAAAAAAGTAACTTTTAGACACAAACCGGAAAAAAAACTCTTGTTGAAGCAGCTTTTTTTATATTAACAATGAATCAAAATTAAGGATACCAGCCGGTATCCTTCAGTTTATGTGATATTCTTTCTCTTCTTCTAATACCAAAAATTAATCGTAGGCAGGAATTCTGAACTTTTTGTATCTTTTTCTTGAATTGGTTGGTCAAACATGGACCATACAAAACATCAGCATAATTCAAAATATCAAATTTAAATATTGTGAGCTGTTTCCTTCTATGGTAAAAAAGGTTACCATAGAAGGGGAGATATGATCTGATTAGTGATATAGCATTTTAGAGAGTCCTATATAGCCAAGAATTAATAACATTAAATCGAAGTTAATAGTATCGAACGCTCTACTAAAACCAAGAAGTACCAATACTGTATTATTTTTTTTATTCTTATAAGAAATGGAATTTAGATTTTTCAGTAGAGATTCAAAAATGGACCTTGTATTCAAGTTAATTCAAAGTTTCTCACAAGGAAACATTTCCAAAAAAGCAGCCGAGATTAAAAAATAGTTTGTTATCAAAATATGGAAACAATAGAATAATTTCCATATGATAAGGTTCGTTATTGTCAAAATTCAGATAAGCTCCAAATTAAAAAATTAATAATATGATAAGGAATTCCTGAAAGCAATCATTAACTGGAATCTAGGTAAGAAAACTTGAGTTATTGAAATTTCAGGAAACTCATTAACCAATAAAATCGAACGAAGTAGATTATTCCAATATGAAAAAAGTATGGAAACACAACCAAAGTTCATTAATGAAATAACTACGATTGTGACAAACATGTGCAAGCCATTAGAAAATGGAACACTCGCCAAAATTCTGAAAGGTAGATTCAGAAGCTCAGAATCTGATGAAAACACACTAGAACAAGGGAACATTTTCTGTATATGCGTTTCGCACCGTCAGGAGTTAACAAAAACTAAATTACTCAGATCACCTCCTACTTTTGGTTTGATTTATTGAAACTCATTATTTCATATTTCATTTTTTTATTCATTATTTCGTGTTGTTTCAACCAAAAAGTAATTATCTTCAATTCACAGCTCATCAATTTGAAAATCCTTCATTTATTTGAAGATTTTGTTGAAATTGCTTCTTCAATAACAGGTAACTCGATTTGAATGTATAAAATAATTGTAACAGAAAAGTTCCAGCATATGCCCTACGCTCAGAACAATATTTTTGAAAAAACGGCCACTATTGAGGCTCGTTCTGGGAATCCAGCAGCCCAAAATGATATTTCATAGTTTCACTATATAATAATAATGTTATTAATAACATTTCACAAAATTCTGCAACGTTACATGGCTGACGGACAGCCAATTGCCATGATGCACCCTAGGTGGCTCGGCGAGTTAATAACATGGCCTACCCAGGACACGAGGCTAACGACCAATGTAGTCGATGCTGATGACACAAAAAAAACATTTCACTGAGAAAATATGAGCAGAATAGAATCACATGACCAATTCCGTTTTCATGTGGAATATTCAAGAATATCATCTTATTTCACATCTACAACATAAAACGAATCTCAAAATTTCAGCCTCTGAAAATATAGCGGTACAGTGAATCATTGATGAAAAGTAAACGTGATACAGTGTGTAGAAGCCAAATGGAATAAATTCATTATTTCGGTTACTGTACATATTTAATGCAAATCCCGAAACACGTCAAATTTAAAAACGTTATCCCTACATTCAACCACCAATTTTTTAAATAGAAAGTATAAGCTTATATAAGGTTGGTATGCCTGTATGGGTGGTACGCCTGGATGGTTTACCTGTATGGGATACCTATATAGCATAAATAGGGTTAGCTCGCTTTAGTTTCTAGTTTTAATATTCCTTTTTGAAGGTGATCACTTGGTGATCGAAACACGTGTCGAGGTGTTAAAAATAACGATATGGTCTTAGGAAAAAACTCCAGTAATATAGATTCCAGAGTCGGCTCCCACGCCTAGTACATGAATGTGAGGTAACTCTAGTCGGCCATTTAACTACTGGATGTAAATTGAAACAAGAACAAATATCTTTGAGTTTACTGAAGTTATTGCTATCCCTTGCATTTGCAGTTGAGTCAATATTAAAATCCCCAGTTATAATAATATCTACATTCGGTTTGTATAACTCTTCCAAAAGAAGATGAATATGTTCGTTAAAAATATTACGCTCCCCACAAGGTGACCTATAACAAGTTAAAATGATTGTACTACGGTTATTTGCTTTCCAGGAGACACCACAAACATCAAAGTGTTTCTCAATGCAATATTAATCTAACTTTAGACTGTTACACTTTAAACCTTCTTAATCGTAATCGTAATTCCCATCAAGAGCCACACAATCATTCTTTTGCCGCTCTAACATTTTAATATCACTCTTGTAGAACGATTTATCTTCTGCCCCAAAATAGGACTGTGCAACAGCACTGAAGCAGCACTTCCATTTTCTCCAAATGGGGTCGTTTTTCCGCAATTTCGGAAACAAGACACGAATATCTCAAATGTAGTATACTTCCTGTCGTAACAATATGAATTGAAGTTAACCTTGCCAAAAAACCATCTTTGCTAGAATTTAGTATTTAGTATGATATACAAACAATGAAAATGATCTTTTCTGTAGGTTTAACAGCTGAGGAAAGTGGTTCTGCTAATATTGGTGCTGGAGTTTCTGGTGATGCTGATGAAGATGTTGGTGTTAGTGGTGATGGTGGTGGTTTAAACCTACGCGGATCTGCTACTTTAGGAATAAATGGAATCAGTATAGGTGGCAGCGGATCTATAGAAAGTGGACTCGGTAAAGGTAATAATAAACCGGTGAAATCATATTTTGGTAATAGCACTACTAGGGGAATATTCTTGATATCATTGATCCCTTTCGAAATGAAAATGACTCTTTACACCCAGATGAAATTGTGGAAATAGCGATGGCAGATTGGTAGAATGCAAAACTGAACAATATATGGTTATGATGATTAATGATTTCTAAAACTCTTATGTTCTGAAGGAATCTGTTACAACCATCATGGAGTTTCGGAATAACAGTTTCCTTTTCTTATCAGGTTCTGATTCCGAAGAATCCGAAACAGAAGAACCTGGTTCAGGAAGTTCAGGAACGGGAGATTCCGATCCAGGAGAACCCAGTCCGGCAGGCTCCGATCAAGGAGATTTTGATCAGGGAGGTTCTAGTCCGGAAGGTTCTCATCCTGATTCAGAAAATGGAGAAGCTAATGATGGAGATAATGGAGCTGGAGGTGGTAGTTTGGAAGGATCTGGATCAGTAAGTGTCGGTGCTGAGGGTCATAATTCTGGTTCTGAAAATTCTGGATCTAAAGACTCAGCAGTTGGTGATATTGGATCATCCCTGGGAGGTCTCTTTGGTGGTCTTTTTGGTTCTGGTTCTGGAAAATCCGATTCGAAAGATTCTGGTTCTGGAAATTCTGGATCTGAAGACTCAGGAGTTGGTGATATTGGCTCATCCCTGGGAGGTCTCTTTGGTGGTCTTTTTGGTTCTGGTTCTGGAAAATCCGATTCAAAAGATTCTGATTCTGGAAATTCTGGATCTAAAGACTCAGGAGTTGGTGATATTGGCTCATCCCTGGGAGGTCTCCTTGGTGGTCTTCTTGGTCCTGGTTCTGGAAAATCCGGTTCGACAGATTCTGGTTCTGAAAGTTCGAAGGGTGGTTCTATTATAGGAGGTCTCATTGGGTCCCTAACTGGTTCGGGCTCCGGATCTGATCCGAATTCCGGAAGCGCTAGAGGTGGTAGTTCAGAAAGCGAAGGACCAGTAACATTTCCTGATCCAAATACTAATGGTTTACCTTCCGGAACAAATGACAATTCTCAAGAAAACGATGGTGATGGATCGGGTAACTCTGGTGGATTTCCAGAAAATGNAGCTATTTATTTTTAATTCTTAAGGGATTTCAAATAATTTTATATATTAGACAATGGAAGTCCGAACTAGTGGAATTCATCATGAAACATTGTCAGTCACCTCCGAACAAACTGAGAATGATGATGAAAATCAAGAATTCATTAATAGAAAAAAAATAAATTCAAATCAATGTCGGATAACTTCGTTATCTAACTGATTTCAGGAAACCCCAAGTTGGTAATGATTTGAGAAAAGTTCGAGAAGGCAATACATATATCTGGTTCGAATAGGGCTTTTGATAGTTACTCAGTTCAAATATTTCATTTAGAAAAAAGGAAGGTGTTTCAAAATGATACAAAACTAAATGACTGACTATTATTGCCTTATATAGGTTGCACTATATTTTAGAGTAAAAAAATCTATTCTCATAGGTTTGGTCGAAGGTCGTGGTGGAAATCAAGGAGAAACTGATGGTATAGGTCAAGGTGGAAGTCAAGCTGGAGCTCAAACAGGAGGTCAAGTTGGAGGTGATCATGGTATCCTCATAAGCGGTTCAATTGATTTTGGAAATAGTGGTAGCTTCGGTGACAATTCGAAGAAAGGTAATGAATCAATCCAGGGCGACATTGCCCGACTTTTGCCCGAAATTATTTGAATGTTGTCACAAACAGTCACATCGTCGATGTGAAATGAGTTTGTCATTAGAAGATCTGAAGATCTGTAGACCTTACGGTAACTGTGCAAGTTTCTGGATTGGTTGTTGCATGTAGATCCAGGAGACTAGCATATCCTTCATCACGGTCAAGAATCCTGGTTAGCTCATTGATAACCTGAGTAAGTCCGCTGTTTATTACAGAAGCTTCAGTTGTGCGACCTTGTTCGTCGTTGATCTTTGAAAATTTGAGCCATTCGATATTGTGGAAATTGAAGTAACCGAATATGGAAATTTCGGCACTGGCATGATCGATTTGCAGAAAGTTAATGGTGTATCGCTCGGTGGTCGATGAACGCAGCATATGAATTTATTATTCTTCTGCGACACTATTTCAATCCACATCAAAGTTTTGGGATTCCCGCATTATCTCTCGTTGAAGTACTGACTTTGGTTTCTGTGAGTGCAAGAATAAGAGGAGCTGCTGTGGAATTCCGAAGCAACTACTTGTAGGAACTTCACCGATCAGAACAAATTTTTTTGCAGTAAGAGTTGTTGTAGTAAGAGCTTGCCACAATTTCATCTGGATTATAATACACAATGAAGCAGAATTAAACGCAGTAAAACAGAAACTAACGTGAAAGTAGCTCATTTTTCATCGTGTTACAAAACCATTCCATTATATTTGGAAGTATCATTGACTGTAATTAATGAAAATGTAATGTAACAAAATAATATTTCCCTTATTTTAATGATTTTTTTTAGGAAATGGTTCAGGGCAGGCTGATTTAGATCTCTCAATTTCCAATTTGGGTAATGTCTTCAAGTCAAAAAGCTTGTCAGAATTTCTGATCGAAAACAGATAGAGATAGGTATAGGACATTGCCAACAAAAAAGTATTAAAATACTAGAGCGATTCCAAAAATGTATTAATATACGGGGTGTTCCATTTAAAATAATATAATTGCTTGAACTTTTTGATAGAAGTGGCAACGCCGCAATGCTGAAAATATTTTAAATCGATAGAACAGGTAAGGAAATGTGAGAGTTGAAATTTTCAGGAAAATCATGCTTTGCGTTTTCCAGAAACGTCTAACCTACCTTCGACCGTGAGTCACGCTGTATAATAGAGTGTACTTATGGAAGCCGAAATGCAACGATTGCCCAACGTTCAATTCTTCATTCTATAACAATTCAACCGGTGTACCGACAATCGCACATATCTCGTTACGTCACACTAGCTTTTGATAATCCCGAAATTTCGAAGTCGTGTATTTCAAAAACGAATAATCTTATTTACTTGAAATTTTCGCCACTATATTTTTGGATGACAAGCTCTATTGGATATGTGATGAATTATTAGGAAAGAAAGGTTTTGGTTTTTTACTTCTCCATCTCTATACAAAGAAAAGTGAAAGCTTTCCACATTTTTTGTATAAATATGGAGAAGAAGGGGACGTTTCTTCCCCAACAACTTGTCTCTCCCAAAAATACACCCATCATTGGATAATATAACAATAAATATAACATGTTACTTCAAATACATACAAAAAGTTGGGCAACACTACGAAACCTAAAATATTTCTGTAGTTGTTCAATTCAATTTGTGAATATATGTGGCTTATTCTATTCCTTTTACATTCTGTTGTAGGTTTCAAAGAAATTCTCAAAGGTACAGGCCTCATAATAAGGAATGTATTCTACAGAGATGGATTGATGATAAGTATCTTGGACGCAAATAACAAAACATTGAATTGTTTAATCGACTCGTCCCAAGATCTTCCGGATAAAGTTGATAAAACTCTGGTGAATTGTCCTGCAGAAACAGCGAAGAAAGTTATCGACATTCTTAAGGCGATAGTGGAAAGCTTTCGTTTGCTTGTTAGTGGATTTGGAAATGTCTCGAACAAAGTATTCTGTAAGTATGAAAATGCTCACTTTGATAATGAATAATATGATGAAATCACTGTTATAACTGTAATGAACCACCTCACTTAGTTTCGAATGGTAGCTCAGATAAAGAAATTTTGAATGAAGATGTGATGAAATTTCAAAATGGAGCCTCTGGAATGGAAGTAATCTTGACAATCACGCATTTGGGGGGTCAGCAGCGAAATACTGCCATGTGAATTAGTTAGTTACTCTTTACCATTATAGGAAGCCAGTTTTTCCAGTTGAACTACCAGTGGTTTGCTCCTGTGAATAACATAATGTTCTTCTTGTGGAGTTCTTTCACTTAACTTTTCATCTATTTTGTATAACAAATCACAACACAACAAAAAAATATTTTTTGAATGTTTCCTACACTAAATTAGTCAATTTCNCAGGGATCGTCATTTTTCTCACTTTCTCTCATTTTTCCTGTTGTATCATTGACTTCACAATTTGTGATACATGTGGGGTTTTCTCACTTACGTTTTGATCTGTTTTTGGGAATACGTCCAAACCTGTCAAATATTTTATTATTTTCCCTAAAGTACAATGGTCTGAATTTTTATTTTTCGCAAGGGTTACATCTGGGCCAATGAAGGAAACACAAACATTTTGGCAAAAAGTTCATTAACCTTTCAACATAACCTCCTTGAAGCTCTATACACTTTTTCCAGAGACGTTCAACAACTGTCCCTGGCTGATACCACGACTGGCGTTGGATTATATCCGAAAGGTGTCAGTGCAGGATTCTTCACTGAAGTTGTGCGGCATCTGTGTCGCCAACAGGATATGCAGGAATAACTTCAGTGAAGAATACTGCACTAATACCTGTCGAATAGAATCCAACGCAATTATTAGTATTTCTGGTGCTCTCATACATCAAATTTCTTCGTATACCGTTGAAACTGTTTCTTCAGTCGTGTCTTTACAAGTGTTTTGCTATTACATAGCAAAACACGTGTATGCTATGTAATATGCTATGTAATAGCAAAACACGTGTAATTGCGTTTTAGTAAACGTAACGTTTTTTGAAAACGTTAAAGTGATGATGGAAATTTTTCTTGCAGATTTGGATTGATTTTAACTTGTTTCTTACCCATATCGATTTTTCAGACGTATGTTCGAACATGTCGTGTCGCTTTGGTGCTGTGGGTAATTTTGGTGTGAGCATTGGCAATGTGGTACTGCATATCGTTTTGACCCTGTTGAAGGTGGTACAATTACTGGCAACGCCAGCAACACTGCCAGTTTGCCTTGTTTCGGGAGCTATCACTGGAGTAGGAATGGAATTATTCAGATTTGGAAAAACATCTCTCGAATGCTTCACAAGTAAACATGTTTTGTAAGCATTTCATAAATATATAGAGTTTGAACCGTATCGTATTATTTTTTATTCCATCCATATCATCGAATCAATTTTGCAAAAGGGACTACCCATTTGATCCGGCTTCGCAAAGATAGACTTATCGAAACACGTGTCGAGGTGTTGAAAATAACGATTGAGTTTTGGAAAAAAAAAACTCCAGTAATATTCACAAAGATAGCATAGTGTTTCATCAGCTTGTTCATGGAGAAAGTTCCTTTTTCATCTGAGAACTTGCTTTTGAAGATATCTGTGCCGTAAATTTCGCCTTTTAGACATTACTAGATCAATCTAGAATATTAGAAAACGTTTGAGTGCATTGCATAAAGTTTCAAAACATGCAGTAATATTCTGAAACGTTGTTGGATGTTTTGATAAAGATAATTTGGAATATCACATCTTTGGAATATCTCATCCCATCACAACTTTCAAATATATATTATGCTCTGATATATTCACAAATTTTTCATCATATTGTCTTCTGGGACAATACATACAATACCAAGCGAATATTCATCACTCAAAAAAGAATAATTAGATCTCCGCCTAAAATAATCATGTAAAAAATATTTTTTTAACATCTCCTATAAATTTATGTTCGGAAACATTATTTTAATGAAAACTCATTTTAAACTTTTTGATAAAAACAAACAAAATCATAGGTACTTCACCAGGCTGTATGAGAATAGTAACATACTAATAAATATTTTCAATTCTTCACCTTTAATTCGAGTGTTCAAACTTCACAGCTCAGTTTTATACTTGATGATGGTGTCAAACCCGAAACCGGTTGTATAAATAGAATCAACTAGTGGTACTTAGACAAAGGTGTTTTTACTCATTTCATTAAAGTGATCATGAATTGCCACAAAATAAACAAGTCATCAAATACACAGACTATCGTGAGCTCAATGATGAGAATATCGATGACAAGTATTCAATTCCCAATCACATATGTTTTGGATAAACTAGTCTATATACTTCACAACACTTGATTTGGCGTATTTCATCAGTTCGGACTTCCATTGTCTAATATAATATTTATAAATTGATTTGAAATCCCTGAAAAAAAAATTAAAAAGATATACC